ATCTTTGTGTGTGGTAATCTAAGAAAAGATTTGACAGATTTATTTAAATAATTTTTAGCTATACCCTGTTAGCCAAAGATGGCTACGTTTTAAGTTTAAATTTCGAATTTTAATACTATAATAGAAATGTGATGTCACAAAACCCCTCTTCTGAGGAAAGTGGGAGGGGTCCTAGGTTTCATTATTTTTTTACAAGAATTTTGTGACTCCTTTAACTTTCTGTCGACCCAATTTACAAACAATAATAAAATATTTCCTTTGCATTATATTAGTTTAGATATAATATTCATTGATATATTTTCGTCCACAAATGTTACTATTTTCAAGTAATATCTACCCACCATGAATACAGTAGCTATTCTTAGAAATAGAATATTCTAAGGAAACCATCTTTACATTTTGTTCATGTATGCAGAAAGATTCGCTGTATATTCGAACGCAGCGGTTTTCGAATTTCGAACTGCGTTCAGCCAGCGAGGGAGTCCTAATCCGACCGCTTCGGAGAAGTCCCTTTTGAATAAAGAACACCAAAAGATTCCACTTTTGAAATTCTTAATCTATGGTACTTTTATGTTGGCGTCTAAGAAAATAGAATAATTTGTATTTGGGTTATTGTTTATTGATTGTTATGCAGCATTTTAGACCATTGAGCAAATGAACACTACGTTTCGGCAGAACAACAGTAGGCAAGACCTATTTAGAAAAAAAATTTATATATCTATGACAACAGTTTGTTTTGAGAAGGATATATTTATTTCACATGTAAAATACGAATTGAAAATCATTTAAAACGAATTGGTTTTATATATAATAGGTGATATTTACCATTTACCATCAAATCTACCGTCAGGTCGGAACGTAATTTAAGCCGATGAAGAACTGGCAAGAAACTGATGTGTCTTTTCGAATATAATTACATATAAGCAGTAAAATATAGATTCATGTTTAAACATAATAAGGAAGAATATAGTGACCACCAGCATATGCTATTAGGTATATTTATATAAAAAAGAAACGATTTAATATCAGTCGTAAACCGATCAAAATTCCGCACGAAAAATGACGTTTGCGACCGCCATAATTGTACTCAACCATATTTTATGCTCAACGACCGAGAACATGAAAGTTTACTAATTAAAAATAACTTAATTCCATTAAATGAGGACCCTAAAAACCACATGCATCAAATAAAAAACAATACATAGCAATACGAACATCCAAACTCAAACTTGATACTAATTAAACCAACTAACAAGGAGCGATTTCCGATTCTCCCACATTTTGGGGGTAGCGTGGCAACACTGGTCCCCGGGGTGGGGGCATAAGCGGCTTACGAGGGGGCGAGCGGGCTGTTTTGATTATTTCCAAGGATGTCTTCTTGCTACGTAAATTATGCAACGCTTTTGCTTTTCAACGCTTCGTTGTTTTGACGTGATTTCTCAGCAGGTTGCTAGTTATGTCTGTTGCCAACTACATAAAAATGAATCCCTACTTTCCTTGGTCACGTCGTAACTTGAGTACGACTTAAACTATTTAATTCATCTGTTTTTTATCTAATACTACAGGTTTTTATCTAATAGCGACCCGTCCCGACTTCGCACGATACATTACAAATCTTCGAATGCCTCGCATATATTATACATATAAACTTTTCTCTGAATCAGTCTATCTATTGCTGAAAAGTTCATTAAAATCCGTTGCGTAATTTAAAAGATCTAAGCGAACAGACAGAGGAAGCGACTTCATTTTATATTATGTAAAATTATGTCATAGAGTTCATTATGGAACTCGATTAGACTCGAACCGGAATAGCAAAAACAATTTTTCTGAATTTTTTGGTATATTTAAGCAAGTCTAAGGATTAATATATAATTGTAAGCAATTTTTATACCCTTAGGTAATAAGTGTAGCCAGAAATACATATATAGCAAAACAACATTTTCCGAGTCAGCTAGTTGTTTTATACACAAAGTATAAAAAAACAATAAAAAAGAAGGATGGTTCTTACGGAACGAATTATGAACGAAGAAAATTGCGCAGTAAATTTGAAACGTTAGAAATTTTCACGAATATTTTAATTTTGCGGCTTTGGCAGTCGCGTCTGGCAGGTTGAATTAAATATTAAGATCAATCAGAGTAACGTCTGTTAGATATTATTGTTGTAATAAGTAGTCTGTTTAGTTTATTTGATTTTTTAAACAAGTTTTGGTCTGTTTTATGCTTTTTTTTTTAAGATTTAATCTGTGGTAACAGATAAACTAAAATATAATACAGACAGACTTTTCTATAGATAAAGTACTAGAAAATTTTTAACATTGGTAATAGCCTATCAATTGTATTATTTTCTTAGAATAAGTACTTACCTACTTAAATTAAAAAAAATATGAGAATCAACGATGTTCTTATTAATGTGATGGAAAATAAACGAACTTTTTCTGAAAATTTTATAATCTGTATTTGACTGAACACTTCAAACTGAAAATCGTTTCAGAGAGGTTTCTCTGAAATGAACTTGTTGGGTAATTTATATTATTATTTCTAATAACTAAACAAAATTCAAAATTAATTTATAATAATATGTTTTGTTATATTTCACTAAGTTATAAAGTATTTTAGATAGACAAGCACCTCAGGTAATCTATATAAAAGTTGATAAAATTATTACTAGATATCGATTTATTGTAATACAATAACAATAAACTATAAAAATAATATATTATCGCATTTTCATTTTATTAGCGTTCTACTATCTCTACATAACACAAAAGAATAAAAGCATAATAAAAAAACCTGTCTGTATATAAATGTGTATATAAATGAAACGAGCTGAGTTTCTTGTCAGTTCCTCTCAGCTCAAAAGCATTTCAAACTGACGGTAGATATGACATATCATAAGAGTCTGTAATAGACCCACATGAATAAAGATATTTAGAATTTTGAGTTTTTATATTTAGTTATTATTTTATTCATGTAGATCACATGAATAAATATATTTTAATTTTAATTAAAATACAAAAGTACTTTCATATGTAATTTACGTACACCTATATGTTACATCAAATCAGAGGTAGACTCAGATAAGTGCTTAAAAATCGTCACTATTAAATATACTAAATACTGCAACAGAATCAAATCGTTACTGAAACGTCAACCATGCATTCGCTTCACCATCAAAAACGGGCAGCGCTATCTGAGGCAAGCACTGAACTCTGCCGCCAGTGATGTATGCTAATTGAAATGTCATGATGTAATTTTTTAATACACAATAATACCAATGCAAGATAGAATGATATCTCGCATTTCAGTATCAAATATTAATGTCTTTTTAAAAGTTATTGATACAATATTAAAAAGTCGTAACTGGTAGCGTAGGTGGGCCGCCGAACTGTTGACTTGTAACGACGTTGTAACACGTTTCTAATTGATATTTACGTATATTTAAACGTACTGACAAACTGTTTCTGTGTAATGCGGACTTAATAGATTTTTAATAGTTAAGTAGCTTCCGGCTATGCTCATGTTTTCAGAGTAGGAAGGTTAATTTTGTACCTATCTCCGTCCGGGGTATTTCTCTATCTCTTTCTCGCATGTATAAATATAGATAATTTATTAATACATACATACAAATAAGACAAAGTGGGGTTAATTGCACTATCTATAAGTCAAGGATGACGGGCTAGATTTTTATAATCTGTTTGTCTACGTCTCAAATATAAGAATAAATATTTAAAAAACTATGAAGATATCATTTTCTCGTAATATTTGTATGGAACGGGTTATTCGATGAAATTTAAAGAACAAATTGATTTATTTTTAAGAATATTTGGGGTGGAACGAACTTTGATAGGTCAGCTAGTGTATGTGTTATATAGTGCTAGTGTGTCATATAAAAACAATCTTTGTTTATTGTTTTCTATTTTATGTGCTACAACACCTTTTGTTCTATTATAAGTAAATAAAAAAAAATTGCTTGCATAGTTTCATACAAACATTATATTATTCTAAATGACTCGAGCTTGATTACTGTTAAAAAAGTCTGATAGAGTTGTAACATTATTTTTTTAATCAGCACAAATTTCTGGTATATATCGAATTTTAATTCACGATCATTGAAGTTTTGAGTCGGGAAGTGAACCCCTATAGCCCATCACGCTGTCAGACAAAATGCGATCCTGTCATTTGTACGCGTTCCAAATTCATTTTTATTTCTTTTTTCATTATCATGAGCCTTATTATTTTTGGTTTGAGTTTATCACTGGCCAGTAATCTTAATAATATAACAGTTATTTTTGCATTTGCTAAAGACAACAAACGAGAAATTCTACTTACGCTTGAATTTAAATTTCGAATTAAATTTCAAATTCTAAGAAGTTGTAATAATATTCATCTAAATACAAATTACGCGCAATAAGTAAATAAATATTATTTTCTTAAAACCAGTTGTTAAATTGTTGATTAAATATTGTTATAATTCTTGATTATATCTAGAGGATACCTATTGTAGAAAATTATTGGAGTTTCTATGCTTTGTTCCAATACTTTTAACAATAAAAGGAATGGAGGCAAGACAATTGAGTCTTTAGAAATGGTAACGTATGATAATGATATTGGTAGAGTTTGTAGAATACAGTGTGCCGCTTGTGAAGGCGACTACAAGCGGCACACTGTATTCTAAAATGTCCATGATGCTGTTTATTACTATATCAATAATTAATAGTATTATACAGCCTTACTACTTTACAACAAATGTATTGTCAACTGGATTGCGATTCCAGTTACATAAAAAATGAGATATTTGTGCATAGACAAAAAGTGGTGCAAACCAGTAAAAACATAAAAACACAGTCACTTAATTACTAAATATGGAAACTCTCAACTGTTAGCTATCAAAATGACATTAATGCCCCATCCGTGAGACTAATTACAAGACTCACAGATGAGGCTATAGTGTCCGAGGCCAATAATTGGCTCCTTCGCAAATAAGAGGTTAAGTCACTTACCTTGGGGAAACCCGACAGCTTCCAGGCCATGATGCGTCAGTCCAAACGGCCCCAAGCTCCCCAAAGGCCCCGGTCCCATCCCCATGTGATGAGCGCTGGAGTGGTGCGCGTAAGGATTCTGCGCGAGAGGCGACGGTTGCTTCAAGTAGTGGAAATAGTGGTGCAGTGGCGTTGTAGAGTGGTGCGCTTGTGGCGCAGCTGGCCCAGTCGCTGTCGGGCCAGTAGCTGTCGCCGAGTTAGTTAATAACGCCATATTGCTATTGTCCGCCGTAGGTAGTCACCGCAACAGCCTCTTTCGTGTGTGTATCGACATGGTCGATGTCGTTTTTTATAACGTTGCACAATTAATTTGGACCGGCGATGGCATTTTTATGGTTGGTCTGTAACAAGCGGAGAATTATATTAAAAATAAAAAATAAATGTCAATAAAATTTCGAACGGGTTGCCCGATTAATATGTTAATTTGGACATTGTTGGTAATAATTTGAATGGTGTGGTTTAAAAATAATAAATAATACAATAATACAAATAATGTTTTACAGAATGAAAATGAAAATAATTTTAAAACTTTTATAACAATTACGTACAAAATGTTGTCAGAATTATTGTAATGTAATGCACAATGAACTATATAGCGATTTTAACAACATTGAAGAAAAAAAATTGTTATTTATTTTAACGTTTTGATGACAATTTTAATTGGGTACAATAAAAACAAAAAGCAAAAGAAGAAATTGATTATATTGTACTTAATGTATTGCACTATGGAATTGATAATTTTCAATTGTTACCTCATACATGTCTAAATTAAAAGTTACAATAAGAAAATAAAAGTACGTATATGCAAATTGTACAACATCATATATTCATTAAAGATGAACTTTTACCAAATGATAGGTACTTTCATAGTTTGCTTTAAGCATCTTAAAACTTAATTCATATTCTACAGAGTTTTGTAGACAACAAGTATAAGTTTCGTTAAAAAGAAATTAAAATAGCTTCAAAAATTTTAGGAGTTTAACAAATAATATCTAATTTTAAAAAACAAAAACCTATGTGTATATCCATACAAGACACCTACATTGCTTTGGTCAGAAATAATAAACGAATCACGTAAAATCCGACAGGGAAAGTATGGAAACGTTAGATTTAGTATTAGTTATCTCGAAGACAATATTCATTAAGATATCCTGACTAACTTTATTTAATTGTATTTAATGTAGTTATCCCAGTTTATTTTGCAATAAATGCAGAAGTAGATCTTATAATGCTGGAAATTGATATCTATAGAACGCACGCTACTATCAGACGCGGCTATAATCTCTAAACTATAAAGTAGATGAAATGTTGATCGCTCAAGTTTCGCATTATATTAAATTTCTATAGCAAATAGAGTAAGTAAATTGCAGTATCGTTAGAAGTCAATAAATTCTTATAAAAAGTGCGCAAGTGAGCGTAATACATTTGTATTATTCACGGCTCATTCGACATTTAATAACTTCTCTTCATGCAATAGAACGCTTGTCAGTATCAATTATAAGCAACGATGCTCGCATTTTTTTATTCAATCTAACTATTTTACAATTACCAACCCCGGCGGTAATTTTCTTCGCTATTGCAACACAGCAGTTTAAAAAATAAATAGTCTCACACGTGGAACGCCTTCCAAATTTGAAATTTGAATGGAACATTCGTCACGACTCTGACGATGCATCCTTTGAGGATTCGAATTGCAAAATTCAAAAGTTTTTTTATTCTTTTGTTGGCAAAGGTACGTAGGTACATGTTTACAGACATTTTGTCACGTTTATTTTTTTTTCTGCATGTTACCTGAGGTTTCTTTCGGTAAATTGAGGGGCTATGATCACGCTTGTGATTCCTTTGTGTTGAAAAAAAATGACGAGCTATATCAAAGTGATGACATATTATTATAAGAAATTGTAAGTGTAGATATCAGATATGATACGATACGTATGCGTAACGATTTAAATACATTGTTTATTTTACAATGAGTTTGTAAATATGTAGCAAATACCTAAGTTTTTAATTCACCTGAAATAGCTAACGAAACTGACGGTCCGCCATGTAAACACATTCCAATTTCAAATTCGAATGTTCTATACCGTCAGTGTACTTTAATTTGAAATTGGAATTTAAGTTTATCTTTTTTATTAATTGCGGCAACTTATCGACTATAGTGTTATTCGCTCAAAAAGTTACTAGACAATAGATTTTTTTTCACAGATGTGACAGAAGCAAAATGTGTTATTGTTTGTTGAATTAAGAATTTGTAGATGTAATTAAATGTAATTTTACCACTCTAGAATTAAATTGTTTATTATCAACATTTTCCGTAGTGACTCATTCCGTACTTATTATAAAAGCCCTTAGACATTTTTGCGAAAAAAAAAAACGAAACATTGTCACTTTTAGCGGCTGCTAATAGACGTCAGTTCTCGGAAAACCGCACTTTGTACTTTCCTGAGCCACCTTGGATCTGTCAACAAAAGATTATCCTGAATCCACCGATAGCATCTATTTAGTAATCCGCAACGCTGTTTATTAACGACTCTACTACGTTGGAAATAAAGTTGCAAATTGTTGGAGATTTATATATTTTTTTAAGGATTTCTGGTCGAGTGAAATTATGCTTTCTGCGGCACATCCTTGAAAGGTGTTCGATTGTGTAAGGGGCAGAGTTTGCTTGAAAAGTCTTTAATGTCGGCCGTTTACAACTGTTTTCGCGTCAACAACTTTTACGTTTTTATTATTCTGCCTCTTTTAATTTATATTATTGTTAAAATAAATAGATTGCTAGATACAGAATGAAAACATTTTCTTACGTTAAAGGAATTTTTTTTACTTTTGTGTGTGTTGACTAAAAGATAACGAATACCAAATAATAATAATTTATTACCACGACTGTTGTACCACATAGTGTAGTCAGAGGCATTGTCGATGTCACGGTAAACGCAACACTTGACATGCCCATGTTTCGGATACTGTCGTCCTTCATAATAATTTTGGTTTGTTATAGATGTTATCTTTCAACGGAGAGTTGGTTAGAAGATAGAAAGATACAAGTTTTTTGTCGCGCACATCTGAATTCACGTCCTTTAATGATTAGGCAATAGAATATAATATTGAAACATTATGACGAAGAGTTTCCCAACGAATTAAGTCTGTAAACCATTTCGATAATAAAAAGGAATTCATATATCTGTTCCTCATTTGCGAAGACATCGCGTAACATACGTACATATAAATAATTTCGATTTTATACAGTATGTATATATTTCTATACATTTTCGGCTAATACAGACAATTTTCTAATATTTTATTTAAACTTTTTATTTTATGAAGATCTTCCGTATATGTAAGTAAACTACATTGTCCTTTGCCTCGATATTTCAAATAAAAAAAAAAGCAAACCGATCCGATGACAAACTCTATCGTTGAAAGATTCCAATTCACAGTTTCCCCCTAAAAAGGCGGTGTCAATAACGCCAAAAATCTATTTGTCGGCGCGCAATGAACGGCTATAAATAATATCGCAACGCAAACACCGTCCATATTGTGCGGGGCGCAGGAAAACAAACATCTCTCGCCCTTGCCAATGTAATTATTCGTTATGTTTGCGCAGTTGGCAACAGTGGCTGTCGCTGTGACAAATTCACAACGCGCGCAATTTAATGTTCCATTTTTAAAATATTTTATAAAATGGAGTATTAAATCGCGACTTTACCTTTGTCTTATACGATTTTATAAATTAAATGGATTTTTTGAAAATGGAACATGACATAGCGCCTTTACCTTTGTCTTATACCTACGGTTTTAAAATTAAAAAGATTAAATTCATTCGAATAAGGCGCGTAACTTGGCGAGAGAAGTAAGAGAGGTAAGTGTCCACTCAGACTATTTTGTAGGTATGAAATGAACTTTTATAGATTTAGATATTATTTTGCAGAGAAAGATCAGCGGTGGTTATGTATTCGCGCTAAATATTTGTAATATAACCTACACTAATAGTAGCAGATTTAAATAAAATAATATAGGTACCTACCTAAATCTATGAAGTAATAAACATGTCTTTAGCTACAACGGTAAAGTTTTGAATATATGATTTTATTTATGCTACGTAGGTGGCAAACAAGCATACGGCCCATAGGATGATAAATGGTTACCATAGCCTATAGACGTCTGAAACACCAGGAATGTCGCGCGTTGCCAACCCTTAAGAAACATTAATATAACTCGAAGAACCCCATGCTGTAGTCTCATGAGAAAACCTCAGCAGGTAGTTCATTCGACAATCTAAGTGTACGCTAGAGGAAGCTCCTCTGAAACCGCACTGTCCGAGACCACTTAAGTTCTAGCGTGTGGAGATTTGATTAGGACTAAGAATTTTAAAATATTGATTTGATGTTCCATTTTCAAAAAAATATTTAAAAAATGGAACATCAATCGCGTCTTTACCTTTGTCTTATACGGTTTTAAAATTAAAAAGATTAAATGCATTCGAATAAGGCGCGTAACTTGGCGAGAGAAGCAGGTAAGTCGATTTTGATTAGGACTAAGAATTTTAATATATTTCCATCCTCTAAAATTACACACAGATACGAGTATATCACTAAAACCGAAAGTTAACCCATCATATTGTGACAAAGACGTTAATTTCGGGCGTGATAATTGCCCACTGGGGTCGGCCATTGTGACAAATTTCTCGCATCGGAACACACTATTAACTATTTCAATGGGTATGTTGTGTTTTTTTCTATATTTCCGAGTAACCATTTGTCGTGGAACCACAATAAGGCATCTTTCGGCACTTTTTGCGCGCCAGCTTAGCACTTGAATGGGAGACCGAGTTCGTTTTCTATATACGCATATACCTACGATCTACTCCATCTAAAATTATTCTAAAAACGAAATAATTTTTAAAAATAGAACCAATTCGATTCTATTTTTGAAAATTATTTTATTATTATTATATATATTAAGACGATTTTAGTATAAAATTAATTATATTTTTGAATCGAAAATTATTTAAATTACCTAATTTATAATTTGGCGAATACATGAACTGGTATCTAAAAGAGTTTTTAGAATAAATATAATTCTATTTTTGAATAGAATATTATTTACTTAATTTCATAATTTGTAAATGTAATTTTGTGGAATGTAATTTTGTAATGTAATGGAACAGTAAATAGGTTAGGTATTTCCGTTGTCCTTTTCTATCGGCATTTCTCTATATTCACATTTGATAAAACTTTTAAAAAAGGCACTTAACATACTTTACTTTAAAAATGTAATCGTAGGTAAGTGTATAACAAATAATAACAATAATGTTGTCAATACAAATAAAAAAATTGCCAAC